CCGCTTTTCCATCTCCCTCCCCTCTCCGTTCCCCCATTCGGGCCACACGGCTTTATTTACAAGACACGAAAATCTGGTTTTTCGCGGGACAAACAAAAAATAAATCATTGATGTTTATTTTTCGTGCAATTTGGGTCCCGTCATCGTAATCGTTCCGGTAATAGGCTGGGCGCTCCACGTAACGACTAAACGCTTCGGACCCCACTGATGAACTGGTCTTCACTCGAGCAGCAGCGGAGGGGAGTGTGGAGGATGGGTCGACTCGAGATCAACAATGTTTCGGCCGCGACACCCCACATACCGTAAACACTAGGAAAGGTTTCTGCTGGTTAATTTCTTACTTTACTCTCGCGTCGATGACGCGGGTGGGGACAAACGTGAAAGGAAATGGTGGATTAGAAAAAAAGAGCTGAAGTGTTCCGCTCGCGGCACCGTGGGAACACTCTCTCCCCTCCCCGCGGGCCGCGCTGCTGGGACGTGCTGCGGACCTGGCGATCGATTGGAGCTTTCATGTGTCTAATTGGCGCCGATATGTCGCGGCTAATTAAGGCGCCGACGACGCGGACGTCCCCCGCCCGGCGCCGCCGCTCCCGGAGGCGACGACGCGGTGCTGCAGCAGGTCGTTGTCATCGACGCGTATACCCCGAGGAGAAGTCTTGGGCCCTCACTGTGAACGACATGACGTCAAGTGGTCTCCAAAATCTTGGGTGTCACTGTGCCAAATGATTTTTAGCTTGGGACGTCTCATAAAGCATTTATGATCTCAGGGGGAGAGTCAAAGGCTTTCAAAGTCGCCATATTGGGGGGACATCATTTGGGGCGGTCAGAGTCTGAATGAAAAGGTGGGAAGGCTTAATCTGTACCTAACTGCATGCGGAGCGAACGCTTTACCAAACAACGGTGTTGCTGCGCTGAGACTGTGGCTGTCCGAGACTGGCACTCTGATGTGACGGGGTCGACTGCGGGCCTATCTCAACATCTCCCCCCCCCCTCTCTCTCTCTCTCTCTCTCTCTCTCTCTCTCTCTCTCTCTCTCTCTTTCTCTCCCTCTCCCTCTCTCTCTTTTTCTCTCCCTCTCCCTCTCTCTCTCTCTTACACACACACTGGGCCGGGTCCGCATACGCAACGAGTGGGCGTTAGACAAAAACTCCCGCCCCCGGATGCTAATGGGCTCCAAACGCCGCCTTTGAGAAGGACCGACGCGGACGGCTGCCTCCGAAAAAAAATGCGAGAGCGGGCGCACACGATGCAAGGCGGCGGGTCCATACGGAGAGGCGGGCGCGGCAGGCTGGCGTCCGTGTGTGTCCGCTATGCGGACGCAGCCTCCCCGTGGTCCAGAGCAGTGATCGGGTAGTGATATACGCGTCGCTATCGGCCTGGGCCACGGGCCGGCCAATTAGGATCAATCTTTGGCGGGAAGGGGGACGGAGAGCGGCGGGGCGGGAGGGGGGCGGGAGAGCCCCGGGGGAGACGGACACACAAAGGCGCCCTAAAAGCGGCTCGGCTGCCAAGGAAACGGCGGCCCCGATTACTCTATAAGTAGGAAAAAATACGTGTTTGCCAATTTGAAAAAAAAAGTAATTGGGTGCCCACAACGGGTTCGGTAGTTTATGGTGCTGCGTTTGAGAACATGCCAAAACAGTCAATATTATCGCCCTACTCGGTTCTTTTGCTGCCAACTCCCGGCACTTATTTGGGTGGGCCTGATAGGCCAAATCAAAGTTCAAACATTACTCTCTTAATAATTCAAATGTGTACATTGTACACTTTAAGGAAAGTGTACATATTGCATGTTTGCTTTAATTAATGTGTACATGGGTATGTACAAATTATTTATTCAAAGGATACATGCCATGTACACTTTATTTTAAGTGTACAATGTACACATTTGGATTGACAGAGTAAAGCGAATCAGTCGTACGACGTTGTGTTTTCTGCTATTATTTACCTTATCTCACACGCCATTCAAAATCGCAGCCCAGCATAGTGCTTACTGTCGTAAAACCTGCGAATATAATGAACCGGTTGCGAATACGATAATGAGCTGCGCTTCTATCGGCAAAGCGACCACCGGGCTCCGTTTTATTGGCAGGCGGGGCGGGGCGGGGCGGGCAGACACATTCGCGCACATTTTCGCAACTAGAGGCGAGTAGTACCAGTCTAGAGGCCGGGTTCATACACACGCGGGTCCCATCTCGCGGCCGGTCCCTGGCGCACACATCTTCCGAGAGCTTTAATGAGCAAATAATCATAAAACTGAAAGTTAGTGGCGGCGCGGCGGCGCGGCGTTTGCACTCAGCCACGGCACAGGTGCGATTGAGTTCCTCTCCTGCTTGCGCGACTGCGCTGCGTGGCGAGTTGGGAGCTGCGGAAAAGAGATTGCGGGAAGTTCAAATTTGTGCGTGCGGGAAAGTACATACAACAGGCGTTTTTGCGGATCTCGTTTGCTAACAGCGGGAATGGCAAGGCGGTTTGTGGTATAAAGCGTTGGTGATGCCGCTCATAGTTATATGGGAAGAAAAGAAATGAGAGGGGCAGTATATAACCCGGCCTGCTTTGTGCAAGGCTCCCCGCATCGACCCTCGATATGAGAAATATGATTCGCGGCGGCCGGCGACAGCGGGTCAGAGGGGAGCGTCCGGGGCGGGACGCGCGGCGCAGCACTGCGCGGCGGGACGGTGACAGGCTCCCGATAAATCGCGCAGTTTAAAAGCGCCCGGCCCGCGCGCGATCACGGCCGCGTCCAGACGCACCGGCCCTCCCTCGCGCCGCCCCTCTCTCTCAGTCTGTCTACCTCTCTCTCTCTCCCTCTCTC